GCTAAAATACAGTAAACAAACCAGCTAAAACACAGTAAACAAACCAGCTAAAACACAGTAAACAAACCAGCTAAAATACAGTAATACAAATGCAATATCTTGACAGCTCAAAATGTCTAAATGTCACCATCGCCAAAGTTGAATGTTCTGTGGTTCATTTCATTTTGTTAAAACAATGAGGAAGAATGGAAACAAACAATTCATTGAAATAGAGTTGTGGAGCATGTCATTCCTGGAAAAATATTAGGTTTACTATTCATAAAAATGTTGAACAATTTACATTGAACTAGAATAAGGAATTCATTCGTTATTAATTATGATTGTTATTTTCATAGAATTAGTATCCTTTTATCATCTTATTCACAAATTAATTTAACATATCAAATATTATTAGCAACGCCATTAACAGAGCTTATATAGTCCATATTCTAAAGGCCCGATGCACTTCTCACAATTAGAATAGATTAAACATTATTACACTACAGTAGTTGAGTATGTAATATTTCAATTACGGTATTCTTATTGTTCAACTTTCCAGAAAAGACATATTTTATATTTTGTAATGTGACATCCTCCAACAACACTTAGAGCAATGGTGTGTATAGTTCAGTGGCGGACCCAGGAATTTGAAATAGAAGGGGCCCAGGGTGGGGTGAATGGGGGTATACACCACCTCCGCTCCACCATTATGGCACCTACATGGCCAGGAATGGCGCTCTCCAACTCCCCTTAAATTTGAATATAATTTTCTTTTTTTTTAAAATCATTGTGAACAATTTAGGGGGGGCAGCTGTCCCCCTTCTCCTTTGAATCTGCTAATAGTTTTAAAGTATTTAGTCTTTTTCGAAAGATAGAAACCTTTCATTTTTCTGGATACCCAATCAATGTGACAATTTTCCTTTGGTTACAGTGAAACTTTTAAATTACAAATACAAAACATACTTTAAATGAAAATACTGTAAGATATATTTGATGGTAGATTATTCCAAAGTTTTTCTACCAGATTAATTTTTTCATTTTGGCAAGACCAGAGTGTTTTTAGATTTGCTTCTTGTATGTTGTGATAATCATCAACAGGAACCAGTGGCGGATCTGGGGGTGGGGGGTGAATAGGGTGGCTAGCCACCCCCCCCCCCCTTTCCAGAAAAGACATATTTTATATTTTGTAATGTGACATCCTCCAACAACACTTAGAGCAATGGTGTGTATAGTTCAGTGGCGGACCCAGGAATTTGAAATAGAAGGGGCCCAGGGTGGGGTGAATGGGGGTATACACCACCTCCGCTCCACCATTATGGCACCTACATGGCCAGGAATGGCGCTCTCCAACTCCCCTTAAATTTGAATATAATTTTCTTTTTTTTTTAAATCATTGTGAACAATTTGGGGGGGGGGCAGGTGTTCCCCTTCTCCTTTGAATCTGCTAATAGTTTTAAAGTATTTAGTCTTTTTCGAAAGATAGAAACCTTTCATTTTTCTGGATACCTAATCAATGTGACAATTTTCCTTTGGGTACAGTGAAACTTTTAAATTACAAATACAAAACATACTTTAAATGAAAATACTGTAAGATATATTTGATGGTAGATTATTCCAAAGTTTTTCTACCCGATTAATTTTTTCATTTTGGCAAGACCAGAGTGTTTTTAGATTTGCTTCTTGTATGTTGTGATAATCATCAACAGGAACCAGTGGCGAATCTGGGGGTGGGGGGTGAATAGGGTGGCTAGCCACCCCCCTTTGGCGACTGTAAAAAAAAATGGTCACTCATCTCGTGTGTGTGCTTCTCATGTTACATGTAGTAGGCTAGTCTCATAAAACAAACACTTTCTATTTAAAACTTAACTTCTTTTTCAGATGTCATCCAAGAGCATCTAGCCATCTACCAATTCCAAAAAATCTCAAATGGAAGGGGACACCCCTCCCAAATCCCATGATCAAGGGGGACAGGGGACACGTCTCCAAATATTTTTAGGGGGGTGGGGGTTGGTTGGTTGGTAATGATTTCATAAGTCAAGAAGATGCCTGCAAATTGTTGAAATGAACTGCGTAAATGACCCGGGTTTTAACAAAAATGTGCTGTACAACCGGTACTCTATATCTGCCCACACACATCTGAATTAGTTATATAATACACAACTCATGTGCATGTGCCTTTTATAATTTGAGAATTATGGGAAAAGCGTGTAATAATAATAATAATAATAATAATAAGATTGGTTTTCGGCATATGTAGTAGGTAAAGTAAATTAAAAATACATCAAAGACAATTGAGTTTTATTTTCAATGGAACATCACAGTGATTAATTAGATCGATGATGATGAATTTTATTACTATATATAAAAGAGTGTCATTTCCAGCAATTTAGAGGTACTACAGTATTTCCCAAAATGTTCCCACCTGAGCTTTTAACTATGGTGTGGACTTAATGGCTTTGAAGTAGGTAGGCCTAAAGTAAATACCTCAAAGACAATGGTTTGAATATTTATTTTCTATAGTACATCACACATGTTAATTAGATAGTTGTGGTTGCCGAAAATTGCTGATAAAACATAATGAGAAATTTGTTGGGGCCTCATTTTGACTATGTATTGGTGAGATGTGATGACCAGGGGCCCAAGCCTCCCGGAACTCAAGGGAGCCTCTCGGAAGTAGAGACAGCATCCCGCAAAATAAAATTAAATGTTATGAAAGCTAGTAAGTTTAAAATTGAAATGTTCTTTTCAGTCAAAATCCACATTTAAAAAATATCTTACTGATAGATTTTTCTACCACACTTTTAATTGCATTTCTGGGGAAATATAGCAATTTATTCTTGATTAAGTTATCACAACTTTATATTTCCCTATCATTATTTCCATTACGAATTCTAAATCATTTTACGTTGATCCATGCACAGCTGCTCTGTCGGTGACCTTTTGACCTTCCATCAACATCAACTTTAGAAATATTGCACCGAAATCAGTAATACATTGTTCTATTTACTGTAATTGATATGTTTTAATTCTGAGAAATTTCGGTCTTCTCTTTATCAACCTAATTCCTGGCAATCATTTAAACACGATGGTTTATTCCCTGATGGCTTGTAGTGGCATTGTAGCTTAGTAATATGATGCTTGCTTTCCAATCCAGGGTCCTGGGTTCAAATCACATCCTGAACAGTGGCGTATCTAGGAGCCTTAAAATGTGGAGGTGGGGGGGCTAATGGAGGAGCACGATGGTCATGTAGGGGGACTCGATGATTATGTGAGGGGGTGCTAACTTGCAAAATAAGGTAATTTTAGGTGATTTTTAACTACTTGAGCGTGATTTAAGGGGAAGGCGTATATTTTGAGGGACGTGGGCCCCACGCACCCCCCCCCCCCACACACGCCACTGATTCTAAAGCAGCATTCCCCTGGTGGCTCACAATGAGACTCCGTTTATGTTGAACTGCTCTCCCTTTGAGGAAGTATTCTTGGAGGTCAATACCCGGTCATCTAGAGGTGCTTTAAAAATCTTTAAAATTGCTCCCTCCCGTTGGGGATTTTGGTCATCTCATCAGGGGATTTCCCTCGATCAGGGATCTAAGAACCCTCAAATCGCTGGCACTTAATTTCAATTGCGTCATTACCTACATTGTTATCCATTTGTAAGATCTATGAAAACGTATGATTCATCTACTAACTAAATTGGATGTGAGCATTTTGAGCATGCATAAAACAATAATTAAAAATCCAAATTTAATTATAATGTATTTAGGTTATCATCAAAATTATGTTTGGGTTTCATACTAACCCCTTGTTCAGTGCTTTCCTATATAAAGCAAATTTAATGATTTATAATTATATTGCAAAGCTGTGTGCTATGTTGTCAGCTCTCTTGTACTGTGCCAGATGAATCAACAACCCTGTACTGTGTAGACCCCCCTCTAGAGTATTAATTACGAGTTTGCATGCTGTGGAGATATGTCAGTGCTTGTGTGTGTGTGCGCCGAGTTGTCTTAATAACAAATGCCTTGCATTAAATATTCAAGGTGTAACCAATGTGCTGATAGATAGAAAAACCTCTATTCTTCATGTTCTTTCAATATGAATAAATTAAAAATAAGTAATAAGTTGAAAAAATTAATGGGAATATAACTAATCAACCTATATAAGGCAAGTATTGTTTTATACCTGGTTTTGCGAACTTATTTTTTTAAAGATCGTCAGAGGAGGGTGGAAAAAAAATAAAATTTTGTTTTCTAATAGTGTAAACAGTGTAGTAATGGGATGGTTAAATGCTTTAAATTTGTAAAATTAGGAAGATATATACATATCTTATTTTTCAAGGCAGCAGTGGGCATAATAAAAATTTTTTTTAACTTTTATTTTTTTCTGAAATTTCTAATTTTTTGTGGTAGAGGTGCTCTAATTGGCCAAAAATAAAATGAAATTTTTATTTGAAATCATTATTGGCGGGCAGTGGATTCGCTGAACAAGGTATAAAAAGTGAGGAAATATTGTTGTATATATCTGATGAAAGGTTAATAAAAATTTGATGGTTACAACATTTTATGTTCGCTGCTCGTATTCTTCAGTCACTCCCTTGAACTTTTTACCTGTATACCAGTAATTTATTCATTCCTATATTTAATAATTTGTTCTTTATACTGACAGGAACTTCCAGAAATTGTGTCCTATATTTCAAAGTGTTAAATTTTCCTTTAAAAAATTATAATATGCATTTATATCCAAAATAGCTTGAATAATTAATATTAATAATTTTGGTTTTGTGATAAGTTGACCTACAGTGTCCCAATGCAATTTCCATCACAGACTTATAGATTTGAAGTAACCTTGTTTAATATTGCAATCTATTAATGATCCATTTTCACTTCGTATGACCGAGTTTCCATATTCTGACCTCTGACATTACACAACAGGAGCTTGGCATACGTCTACCACATAATAATGAGGAAGATGTTACAAATGATAACCTACTACAGTACGGTAGAAAGAAAAAGCAAACACCAAAATAAAAAGGGTCATTCTCCCAACATATCAATTTTTATTAGCATTTATGATTGGTAAATGTTAGATGTAATTTAGATAACTTACATTCTACAATTTTTTTATAATCACAAGTATAGGGGCTCAGGAAAAAAGTCTATAAACATGTTTCGCCCGACATTATCATATTATTTACAAGTAATAAGAGTAAAAGATTCAACAATCCTATCTTATAATTTATATAAGGGAACTCTCCGTTTGTGGAATACCACACCAAGCTAGTATATGTTGAAACATTTTATTAAAACCTATAGAAAATTTCCAAACTTGCAATATCCTTCTCGCTACAAAGACTTAAGTGTATTAAAACATTTTCAATATTGCACTCAAATCTTATATTCATAATAGACTCATAAAAACTGAAATCATTATTTATATATTTGACTAAAATGTTTGTTTTTTCTGCATTCTACACCACAAATGAAGTATAAATAAGAAGATTGAATTCTACTTAAATCTAGAAAACTGATAACTTCAAAATCACCCCCGAAATGATTGGTTTATTATTGAAAACTATACTTAACATACAATATTGTACTAATAGTAGTGATGCATATAAAAGAATAAATTACTAAATGCCTTGGTGTAGATGTTAAGTGCTATGTTCAAAGTACTGCCGTAATACAAACGGACAGATACTTTTACACACTAATGGGTCCCAAGGATTGATTCAGGCAGATAATCTATTAACTTCACAGGATAATCCCATACATTTTCATTGGATTAATACAGTAATCATCAAGAAAAACCACAGCATAATATACAAATTGATTATTAAATCATTCAGAATAAACACTGATGCATTTCAATGCACTTATGATCACCGTGATCTGCAAATTGAGAAGTTGTGAAAAACATTCCAATACCTGGCCAAGACTTTGAATTTTAGAAACTTTCAGTTATTCACATAACCAAACTCGCACATATTATTGTAAATTGAATTACAATTGCGTACAACTGGTATACTTACGTAAACAACACTCATGCATTTGTAATGCAATTTACACTGGAACGTTTTTCACGTCATATTCACGAGTCGTGTTCACTGCGATCATAAATGCATTGGACCGCAGCATAATTGAAAGAACACAATACACAGTTTTGAAAGATCAAGAGAAATCCCAACTTCAGTAATTAAAAAAAAATCAATAAACAGCATAAACACATTCTATTAGCAAGCTATAGAGCTAATTACTTAAATAATATATAATTTTTAAATACTTTGACATAATGTTTCAAAGGAAAAAATAAACATTTTAAAAAGACAAAAAACAGTGATCAACACTAAATGTATTTTTAAAACAAATCACATACAAATTTTCAAGTAAATTAATTAATTTTAACATCAACTGTTGAAATTTTATATAGATATCATCAACATAAGTCTGAATGTCTAAGCAGGGCAGTATTGAGGTAAAAATAATTGCGCACACAAAAAGCATCTGAATTGTCTAATAGAAACCATTATATCATTTGTTGCAAAATGTACACATATGTCCCAATGTTATCCACACTATATTATCTGAAACTTCTTTGAAATGTTCAACTTAAATCAGATCTTCACACATTTATATATGAAAAACATGTCTTATTTATATCAAAGAAAAAACACATAGACATTTACGTTATACATAATTATACTTATTCATAATAATAATTATACTTTTGTAATTACAATTACAAAACATTATTAATCAAAATAATACAAAAAAAATTATGCTAACTAAATCTTCTGACTTTTTTCAGGTTTTTTTAACTTATTTGTACACACAATTTAGAAGTACAATAAAATTCTGGGGTTTTAATGAAGAAATTTTATAGCACTCATGATAAAGATGAATAATTCTAGAAGGATAATTTTTGGAGGAACACAGGAAGTCGAAAAATTGGTGGTTGACAAGAACAACAAACTAAAACATCAAATCCATCCATACTTCATTAAAAGTAACAAGTAGCTAAATCTAATCATGGTTTGAAACTGAATTGCAAGAACAAGAACAACAATGACATGGACAAAAAGAAGTAATTAATTTTAAATTTGGTTCCATTTCCAATTAAAATAATAATAAAGGTAGTAAATAATATGCAACTTTTTATTAATCATTTGTCGAAAATGATTTTCCTTACAACAGAATTATTTTGTATTGTTTTGTTTAAGTGATGTAGAGTTTTCAGGTATTTAATAAATGGTCCTGTTTTACTGGCCTAGCCTTTCTCTATGTAAACTTCAGGAACATTTCTAATTGGTTGAAATATGTAGTCATTCAAGTTACCCCTGATCTATGGTTATTACCTATGATTTCATTTTATGTGTTTAATGATAACCAATGTTAAGGAAAGTTTCAAGTTTTCTAGAAAACCAACATTCTAATTCTTTTAATTGGAAAGGTGGTTGCTCTAGCCTTTACGTGCCACATACATACACACAAGCGTGTACAGATCACGTGTGAAAATGAACTTTCCAACATCATGAGATATCTCCAATCAGCATAAAATGATGAAAACCAACCGCAGGGGAGATATAAAAATTTCTAGGGATATATGCCGTACGATACAGCTTGACTAATTTATGCTGCAACATAAATCCATAAAAATAACAGAACTTACACATTGTAGACGAGGCTCAGACTGAAAGCTCAAATCAAACAGGACATTTTAAATTTAAAGATATGAGTAGGATTCCTAATGAGGAGCCAATGTAATGATGATGTGTTCTACAGTTTTAAATTAATTACTCCTAATCATCCATGCTTGCCAAATCTTTACTGCGACTGTAAATGCAAAATGAATTTAGATGAAATTGCATTTTATAGGCATGCATCTGGCTTGTAACCCTCTATTCATTTAGATAACAAAATTTTGTAGCTGCTGTATAACTTTGATTATCCTTCAAATTGTCCATCTACGTATTATCTGTCTACTTCGACTGCGGTTTATGATGCATCTTAAAGAATTTCATCAACATATAGGTTATGATTTTAAAAAAAGATTTCTGATCTGCTAATGATAGAATATTTTCAGGTGGTGGAATGAAATCACCTACATGTTACAGGTGAATAGAAGTTTGGAATGAAATTACATCAATCACCCTAAAAATACAAATTAAATGTTTTTTGTAATTGTTTTTAAACAGAATTTTTTTTTTGTTTTTTGCAAAAGAAACATGTTTAGATTGTTAATTTGTTCAAATGCTATGTCATATATTAGGCTCAGGGGGTAAATAGTACTTAATAGAAACCTGAATTATAGTAAGCTGGTTTGAAATTTTAAAAAATAAATAAAATATGCTAAAAGACTAAAAATGTTTGCACAAAATATGAATATATACCACATTCAAACAAGTATTATCATGTCTGAAATAAATAATAAATAACAAGCAAAAATATATTATAAGTAGCAGAGGTAACAGAAATAGAGGCTTTCACAGATTTCAGGCATTTAAAATATTATTTAGAGAATCAGAGAAAATTCAGTGGGAAGTGAGGTGGGTTAGAGAAGGATAATTCATGTAATTATGAATGTTATTCTCATACCACAAGAGAAAAGGTTATACCTTGAGAATCCCATTTAAATCGTCTAACCATAACAACTAGAAAAAAAATATTTTTCCTTTTTTTTAACTGATGCTTTGATAACGCATGTTATTTTTACAACAGTGACTTATTAATATTCATAAACAATAGGTCAAGTCAATTACTTCTTTATAGATAATTGTAAATCCCTTTTCACAAACCTACACACAAAAATGCATAGAAGAATACATTGTACAACAGGGTTCCTATAACACTGTAAACTAACATAATATTCTAAATACAGTTTGGTATGATATCCAATATATTTACAAATTTCAGTATAAAATTGCATAGGTAAATGGAGAGAAGACGTTAGTAAAGAAAAATGGTTATCATTGATGTTATTTTATCTGTTTGATTATGATTTCTATATAACTGTTTTGCAAAATTCATTTGAGAGGATAGTGTTAGGGCTTTAAAATTCTGTTGTTACTTTGAATTTTATATTTTGAAAAATTCAAATCACAAACCAATGATAACCACACTCTTTACTAAGGCCTTGGGACCAAGAATCAAGATATTAAGAGAAACAAAAAAAAATATTTGCCCTGGATTCTATTAAACAATTGGTTGGGCTTTTGTGAATAAAACCCCAACATTGATTATACTGTACTGACATTGTAGTCATGTACAGTCCATATATGTTTCTTGATCATCTGACTAAACTTGCATACTAACTTTGTCGCTTTTTGCGATACTCGTACCGACACTCTCTCATTGTTTATCATAGACAATTCTTTGTATTTAACTGTGAACTTATATACCTCATCACCTTATTCATATGAACTTAATGAGAATATCCAAAACACACACATATATACACACACACACACACACAGAACTATATAAGTAGTTAACATAAATATGAAGGTTGTATGATCAGAGAATGTACTTACTTAATAACAGATGGGACAAGAAAGTCTTTTGCATTAGTTTAAGATAATAATAATTTCAATAATTTTTTTTTGAAATATTTAAAAAATTACAAATAAAAATTTAATCTTTATATTATTAGGCTTTGAATACTAAAGATTACTTTATTAAAATACTGTACCTTGTTAGGTTTTATTTTTATAAACTTTACCGCTTTAATTAAATGAATTTTCAATCGTGGCACGTTTTAGCCGATACAAATGCAAACACATATTTCGAAAAATATTCATATGGGAGAATATTATATTATAATTTAAATCATTGCATTTTAATATAGACAGGGTTAACTCAGTTATGTTTAGAAACAAAATAATATATATATACTTAATGAATGAAGCCTTAATAATAATAGTAATCAGAAATTGTATTTTCAACTAAAAAATGGAATGGAAGTTTTACAGTTTTTACTAATAAGATTTTGAAACTGGCAAGAATATATAAAATAATATTAACATTATTAAAAAACATTACAAATAAATGTATGGATAAAAGTGTTGTATACATCACATATAAAATACAATATATACTATGATATATATCTCACACAACACAGGGTGAAATATCTTATGGAATGAAATTCTAACTTTTTGTGCTTGATTATAATGTCAAAGAACAATGTCAAATTTCCCAATTATTAATATTATTATATGTTGTTTAAAGACACTATAATATGTGGCATTTGAAACCATGACTATACACTGCTAGCTTACTATACAGTGCAATGTTTATTTGAAACATTTATTTGTGATAAAATCATGCAATTATGTATTGGAATTTGCAGAAGCATCACATGAAACTCTTGACAAGAGCATCTCATCCAGTCAACATCATATTGTCATTATTGCTTTCGAATATTCATTAGATGTTACGCATGACTGCATTCCAATGTTGCTATGCCTATCAGCAGTCAACTAATTCAGTACAACACTCACCATTTAATGCTACGTTTCACTGAACACATATATTGTCACTGATTGCGATCTTTAGTATTCTATATCTGTACGGACGATCTAGTGTACATGACAGAATATGTGCTATATGATCTCTTAGAAATTCACGAATTGGTTAATCTCACGTTAGTCAATTAATTGAAAACCACCGGATTGCATGTATAGTGAACAAAATTATTAACAATTGTGATTCAAGATCAAGATAAGGAACATCACATAAACAACAAAACAAAAATATGTGATGGGAGAGGAGATACTTATGGAAAAACATTCACCTTTGCTCTTTTCAGTACTTAATCTATGAGCAAAATTTGGTTTCTATATTTGTTCTTGATATTTTTAATACATATATTTGGGAATTATAAATGGAGGATTAAATTAATACTTTAATGTTATATTATTTCATAATTAATAGAGATATGTCAAGCAATAGATATGCCAAGCAATCTATATCCCACTCAGTATCCTATACTATATATTGCTTTAAGACATGACCTTTATAACATTACATGAACTTTATAACATCACATGACCAATTTACATATTGATCAGAGAAAAAAATCAGACTGGTAACACTTTTTGAAATATTAAATATTAATATTGCAACATTGTTTACTGGATCAATTTGACCTTTTCTATTTATACATTGAAATTGTTTTGTAAAACGTTTGTATGCGGTTTTGTTGAACCTTATTATGGCCTCTAAAACGAATCTCCTCAGCAGGTTCACGTAGCATGTGTGATTCTATTCAAAAGAAGCTCTGTATGCACATAGTTAATTGTCGATTCTGTACTGCAAATAAAACTACTATATTTCCACAACCATGATATTTGCCGAGCCTATTATCTGTAATTTGTTACAATGCATGCTTCCAAATTTACTGAAAGTAAATTCTTGGGTACTGCACAGTATTTTTATAATAATTTGAATAAATTCTAATATATGATAAATAATTTTACGTGAGCAAATGTTCATTACTTGAAAATAATTTATAAATATACTTTATCTTATAATAAATGTAATGTGAAGTAATTTGTGTTTCCATATTTTTGTTAAAATCCCTCCAAAACAATTACGGACATACTATTCCACAGTGTTAACAAATTATACAGAATATATTTTGAAACAAAGGTTGAAAGCAAGTTTGGTTTTTTTGGTAATTTAGTTGCAGGGTACACATAAAGAATAAATAGTAAGAATATAGTCAATAAAGACTGATGCATAGTAACAGAAAATAATGATGTTTTTTATGACGTAAATGTCAAATTGGTTGCATGGGTGTAATAGGAAGTAAGCATCAACATCCGTTGATGTTGTATTATTCATTGACCGTTTTCCAGGATGCTTCAATTTCCGATGATGTTGCATCTGTCGACTGTTGCTTAGGCTACTTTTGTCCTTGAACCTGATTGTCTATTGTCCAGATCTGTGGCATCCTCAAATGTCTCGTCATTTATCCTTCAATCTTTTGATGAGTCAACCATCCTTAAATTTCATTTCATTTTATGTTACACATCAATTTGGTTTTGCTCTCCTTAAATCAATTATCTGTTGTGACTGGTATTTTTATCTCGTACACCTTTGACTCATAGGATCTTAATGTCCACCTAGTACTTAGAATGACACTTAACCTTCTTGTCTAAGACGACGCCAGTTGTTTTCTGCTTTGTCATTAGAGCGAACCTGTCGAATGTTCAGTACAACACACCTGTCAAATATTGTACAACCTGCAATAACAAAATTGTCATTACATCTTATTAATACTACACTTGTAAAAAAGCACTGCCAAGACCGAACCTAGCACTTTAACGGTAAGCTGAAGTACCCCAAAAAATATTCCCTCCCATACGTTCATGAATAGTGCATTATATATGACTTCAGGGCTCGTCACAGTGTAATGGCTAATAGAGTGTTTGTACATTTGTATTCGATTTGAGTGTTCATTCCAAACTTGAGCAGTAATGAATATGAGCTATTATACACAAATATATAATACTGTATTACTTGCTCTACAAAACCTTACAGATGATCAGTAAACATCTGTTTATCTCTTTATATTATGATGTTAGATAAATGGGCGTACATACTCTGAAAAGACGACAATATGGTGATATTACAAAAACATGGCGACCCATCGCCGGATCATTACATTCTCAACAGCCCAGCTGTTCAAGATAGATGATGGAATTTCTTGCAGAATAAGAGTAAAATGGGTTTGTGCTGAATTGAGTTGTTGCTGAGGTTGGTTGGTCTAACCATGAGAACGTTGCCATTTCCATCCTACAGAAATAAGAGAGAAAAAAAAGCACTAAGAGAAGGATTTGCTCCTTGGAACCCATAAATCAAAGGATATAATTTAGAAGATGCATAAATATGTCATAGGTTTAAAAAAAATATATATGTATTATTATATATTATACATGTCTTATATGCATATCCACATAGATAATATAATGAAGAAATACCTGTATATATAGATTATTAAAATCATTCAAAAATTAATGATTAGATATAGGTTATATGCATAAAAATAAATCAAATATATTTTGTTTATTTATAATATATACCTACAATAAATTCATACACATCATACCTATATTAAATTAAATATTAAGTAATATAAAATTAATATTTTCATATACACATATTGCCTTTATCAAGGTTATTGCAGTAAGACCGCAGAAGCTGTTGAAATAATTTGTTTACGAAATCAGGCGTTCCTTCAAGGTCACTGTGTATTTGTTCATTTCCACAAGTCCATTTTATCATTTTAAAGAACACGCCAGTGGAAATAACTGTCCGTTGGTATTACTGTGATAAATATACATAAATAATAATAATAATCAAATATTGGTAGAAACAGTGCATAAAATAAAAAACAATGATGTAAAAATCAACAAAAAACTTCATTATCAATTGTTTGCAAACATTTTTCCTGCAAACTCGAACCTGTGATTTCTTGGTATCAAGGCTAGTGTCATAACACTAGACAACAGAAGCCTGTTGGTATTGCCATAAAGTATCGAATGGCATCCTCCCATAGCCGTGTATTTAGGCATATCCTTTGTCTACGCATAAAACGAACAAAGTGCACCTTCATCTCTCCCTATACCCTCTGGTATCACATCTAATCCTGTCATATAATATACTTCCTCTAATATAAGGTTAAAGGTAGCTATGGCGCACGCCAGAAGTCCATCTTTACAGGGGTCCCAGGTTTGAAGAAGCACTTCCAGGAGATCTGTTGAAATTTCTTTCTAACAAATATAAGGCTACATTCAGACTTGGAGAATAAATTCATACACATCATACCTATATTAAATTAAATATTAAGTAATATCAAATTAATATTTTCATCTACACATATTGCCTTTATCAAGGTTATTGCAGTAAGACCGCAGAAGCTGTTGAAATAATTTGTTTACGAAATCAGGCGTTCCTTCAAGGTCACTGTGTATTTGTTCATTTCCACAAGTCCATTTTATCATTTTAAAGAACACGCCAGTGGAAATAACTGTCCGTTGGTATTACTGTGATAAATATACATAAATAATAATAATAATCAAATATTGGTAGAAACAGTGCATAAAATAAAAAACAATGATGTAAAAATCAACAAAAAACTTCATTATCAATTGTTTGCAAACATTTTTCCTGCAAACTCGAACCTGTGATTTCTTGGTATCAAGGCTAGTGTCATAACACTAGACAACAGAAGCCTGTTGGTATTGCCATAAAGTATCGAATGGCATCCTCCCATAGCCGTGTATTTAGGCATATCCTTTGTCTACGCATAAAACGAACAAAGTGCACCTTCATCTCTCCCTATACCCTCTGGTATCACATCTAATCCTGTCATATAATATACTTCCTCTAATATAAGGTTAAAGGTAGCTATGGCGCACGCCAGAAGTCCATCTTTACAGGGGTCCTAGGTTGGAAGAAGCACTTCCAGGAGATCTGTTGAAATTTCTTTCTAACAAATATAAGGCTACATTCAGACTTGGAGATAAGCCGGGCTTGAGTTAGGTCCGGCTAAACTTTGCCGGCCGTTCACACTAGCGGGATTAGCCACCCGAAATTTGCATAATTAATGTTCATTTATTTACTCAAAGTCAACACAAGACCCCCCCCCCCCCCCAGCGACCCCCCCGCAGCGATTAAAGCCTGGCTTTAAAAAGTTAAACATGGTGGCACGCCAGGCCTTTACTTGAGATAAGCTCCCTAGTTCAGACTTGCAGGTGGATAAACCAGGCAGGTTTATCCACCTAGTCTGAACTAGGCCTAATTTTATTTTGGTGTGCATGGTGATACCATATGGCACTTACTTCCAGGAAACAACTGTTTAAAGTAGTAAAAACATGCAAATACTGTGAAGTTACGCGAGATGGGTTATTTTCCGGGAACTCTTCTTGCTTGCGAGAGTGCAGTATAGCCTCCTGATATCCGGGAGAATCCCGCAACTTGCAGGAGACTTAGGATCTCCGTCTTTACGATGTTGTTCCTTTCTGAAGCACGGTTTCTGTGAGCTTATGAAGTCAGAATTTTACTAGAGTTGAATCAAAATTATGAAAATTTTTACATTAAACTCCATTCACCTTCATCTTGTCTTGTTGAATATTAATTTTGCAAGCAAAAATTATTAAGCTGCTTTACTGTCTGCTGCACTGCCTATAATGATTATCTAATAATACTTGCAATATAATTGAATAAACTCAAGCAATTCTTATAATGTTATGGATGCTTCAAACAAACCATTACCCTTGTTTACTCTAACAATACTTTGGAAAGTATTTTGTAAATCAGTCTGTAATGAATGGTGGTTGTGTATCAATAAAAATATATGGCATTGTTGGAAGGACAGAATCTGGCAAAATGGGTTGCGGTTAAGTTTACTAAAAAATCAATAAAAATATAAGCATTAATTTAATAAAAGGATAGAAGCTGGCAAAATGGGTTGGGGTTAAGTAAGTTTAAAAATGAAACAGCATTTTTTAAACAATGTTGACATGCACTGAACTTTGAAATGGTCATGCGCTGAACTTTGACATAGTCATGCGCACTTGAAATACTAGAGTGCTTCAATATTATAGTACTAATTATAAACATTTAATGTATTTAATGTCAAATTATGAATAATAGAATAAAAAAAGTATGAATAGTAATAATTGTAATATTACAATTTTGTTAATAACAACATAATAATGTGCATATAATATAATACAGTGTAGATTCCTAAACATATGTAAACACACCACAACATTTAAACCCGGGCTCCGGAGGAAAAATATTTTTTTTTAATGTTGTACGACTGATTTTTCTAAGACTAAAAAAGCATATTTGACAAAAAAACTTGGAAGCAGTTAATGAGATACAGATTTTGAATATTTAAAAACTGGTGGAAAAATGGGCGTAACCACCCTTTTTTCCACCTGTACAACGTAAAAAAAAAATGTTGTCCTCCTGAGCCTGGCTTTAAAAATCTATGAGAGCAAAACCAATACAAAACCAAATTACTGACAACCAAAACTAATATGAGAAGTTTGACAATAGGATTGCAACATCCAGTGTTCGTACTTGATGTACACATTATGATAAGGCCAAAAATAACACAGTGATCAATTCGTAAATTTTAAACAATATCTTCAACAAGTTAAACCAAACTATAATGTAGGGCAACTCCAAAATAAAGCTCACTTATTAAAATAATTTTAAAACTTTTAAAGATGATGATGATAATAATACAGAATGTATAATAGAGAATACTGCAGTGAAGGACTATAATATGAAGTAAAATCATAATTATCACACACATTACAATATTTTAGATTCATTTTACTTCAGTTACCTTTACAGTTAAGCTGCGAAAAATGACAATTAGTGATGATGATAATGATGTTGATGAAAATAGCAACAGATAGAAAAAAAAAATACAGTCAACTCTCCCAATACCGACCACCCAGAAAACCGGATTTCACGCAAAACCGGTCGTTTTTTAAAGTCCCAAAATCATTCCTATTCTTACCGTAATTAAATACTCCCAATTCCGAATTCCGGCAAAATTTAAAGTCCGGAACAATAAAATTACCTTCTGAAAACCGGACGGCCAGTTTAAAGCGATGATTTATTGACGAAATATGTTAAATAAATCATCGGAGACACATCGACTGACTCCAAATAACAACTATCAATCACAGAACAACACCACGTGTACGATCCTTAGTGATGTTCGTGTGACACGCCGATAGCGCATTAATTGTGTGATGCGCCGATAGCGCATTTAAAAGTTTATTGTTTTAACCGTCTTCTATTTAGGCCGGTTTTTAAATTGTTTACTTAATTATAGGTTAAAACAGTTGTAAATTACGTTTGTTTCTCATAATTTATAAAACGTTCGTAACTTTTTCACGATTATGTTTTTAATTTAATTTCATTTGCAATGGATTTTATTTGTTTTAATAAATTTGTAAAAATAAGTTCATAAGTTTTATTATGATTCTCATAATTAAAATAATTATTTCCTTAAGTTATGTTTTTAATTTATTTTCATCCGCAATAGATTTGATTTGTTTAGAATAAATTTTTAAGAATAAATTCATAAGTTTTCATTATGTTTCTCATAATTAAAATACGATCGTACCGTAATTAAGTTATGTTTTAAATTCATTTTCATTTGCAATAGATTTTATTTGTTTAATAAATTTATAAATTATGTTTCTCATAATTAAAATGAAATCGTTCGTAAAATTTCATTGAGTTATGGTTAATTGCAATAAGCCTAGATTTCATTTGTTTAATAAACTGATAAAAAAAAGTTCATAAGTGTGTTTTCTTTATTAAGGAACGTATCCTTTTCTCACATTTTGCATTCATTCTTACGCTAAGGCAAACCAAGCGGTCCCAACATAAGGCTATCGATTTCATAAAAACAATTGCGCATGACACTTTGACTGTCACCTCTGACTATTTTCTATTGGCTGACGCAGTTTAGGAGGCGTTGCATAAGTTAGCACTTATTTTTAGCATTCAGTGACCCACCAAGGGTATGCCAGCAGCATCATCGAAAACCAATCACATAACATAATCACATGTAACATAAATAATAGTAAATCTTATACGTGAACTGGTCTGTTTAGCTATGAATCAAAGATCCTATAACAAGATAGCATTCTCCGTGAATTCTGCGAGCAAATTCTGTACCAATGCAGTGTAGGGCGCCCTCTCGCAATTACATTTACTTTTCAACTTTGACATCTATGATCTTTGTGAAGTTCCATGATAACAACTAGGATGCCTTTTCTTATTTACAATTATTTTCTATTGCTTTCTACGTGAATGGACGCTTCTATTTTGTTACACATAAGCCGCAGAGCGTTATCTTGCTATTGTACAAGATCTTTGCTTTGAATGGAATGTATGAAGAAGCCTTAACACAGTTTTTTGCAGTTTTCAATTTTCTGAGAGATAGAGAAGGCCAATATATTTAATATATCCTCATATACAGTATAACTGCATAATATATAGCCTATAATATTAAAATCAAAAATATTAAAGTATAACAATTTTTTGGAAAAAATATATACTACCTTATATTATTGCGGCTTTTCCATATTCATCCACGACTGCAAATAGAGATATAGATTAATTAATAAATATATTAAAAGATTAGAAATATAAAAACATAGATTACATTTTTCAATTAGACATATTTTCTCATTTACTAATGAAAAAAATTAATTCACAAAATTCATTTTTTGTAAATATAGAGGGTGCTGTTTACAATGGTTTAGTATCACAAAAAGATTATCTTATAGCAATTAATTAATAGACTAGAAATATTTTTAAATAATCATAGATTTATAGTCATACTGCAATTCTCTTGAATACTTTAAAGTACAATATGGTTGGTAGTTTGCACTTCAGAGTAAAATAGAAAGGCACTAAATTTCTATATATTGTTTTTACAATTGTTTCTAATTAAAAATTCTTTAATCAAATCTATCAAGTTCCTTGGAAACACTTCGCAGCTGTGATCTACAGAAAGAAGAATCACCATAGTAAATTTGTGTCTTATGTAAGTGGCTTATTTATTTATAAAATGCAAGCCATAGGCGGCCAGGTAGACAGATCCTAAGTCTTCACATCTATTTGAAAGGAAAGTAGACTGCATGCTGGGGAAACCAAGCCACTGACGTCTTCACTTTGTATGTAGTACTATTATAATAGTACTATTTTAATGGTTTTACTAAACAGAAGTAGCAAGTTACTTGCATAATAAAACATTATTCTCTCTGGAAAAAAACATGCCAATTAATTGAACTCCCTATTTCTAATCTCCATAGTACCTTAGTTCATAGAGCACCATTTCATTCTGTAATTGGCAAGTGTTTCATTAAACCATGTCTTGAATTATTCATAAAGATACCGCTAATTACTCGAGCTTTTCCATTCCTCCTTTGGTTCCTTTATGTAATTAATTTGTTCCCGTAAAGTTTCATAAAGCAGCCACATTGTCTTACAAATTGTTCAGTTACTACTTACTTTCAACAAATGATTTGCATACAGCTGAGACTTACATTGCTCAAAATAAATTAAATTACAAAAACCTATTGTTTCTTTACACTGAGTAAAAACTTTTGTGAGTTAAATATATCTGGATTTAAATATAGCCATCAATCAAATTGTAGTAAACGATTTAAAAATGTGTGTATATCATGATCGAATTGTAAATGCCGGGCACCAGAAATGTGTTCGTCTGTTAGCTCACTTCCTATTGATCTATAGCTCCCCTAGCGGGGTCACTAGCCTGTATGTCTCAATCAATTATGATCCCATTTTAAATTTAATCAACGGAACACAATTGTAAGTTTCATTACGGATGTGCAAACAAGCTCGCCGTCTACTGGAACAACAAGAAGCTCAAAGAAACGACTATTAACTTAAATTATTGCAAATAAATAGAAATAATGGCTAATACCTCCTTACAACAAATCCGGCAATTGCAGTGTGCAATGCATGCTTCATCTATATTGGTTTTCTATCAAGTTTTATTGTATACATAACTGTATAAAGCCTCATTATCTTAAATATGTTTAGCTGACTGTAGCATTAACTTGTTACATTTGTAATATTTGTAAGATATATTGCGTTCATTAATGTTTTACTTATCAAGTATGGGTCTTGCTTGAAAAGCAGTAATGTTTGCCTTATATACCACATACTGTAATGCAAAGGCTATGTGTATCACCTACGAAACATATATAATCAGCTCCTTGGGGGCTATTCCTTAATGTTGCAGCCTGTAATCAGCAGATCGGCAGTGAAGCCTACCAGGCACCCATTTTACTCTTTGGTGAAGATCAAAGAACCATTAACAGCGACATGTGCTGCTTTTGGGCAATCCGGCCAATCAGTCATACTTTTTGTTCTTTTCTTTACGGGTGAAATAAATGATATATGATATGAAGAAACAAAATGCATAAGTGCCTTGCTAAGTGATCTGCTCAAAACCAGAACCTAAAACATTTTGATTGGAGGCCCTTGGCTTTACTGCTGTATGCACAATCAAATTATTCTATCATATCTACATTATAGACATATTGAGAACAACTTATCAAGGAACGATTTCCAAAGTGAAGGCACCACCCACCCCTCAAAAAGACAACTATAATTCCTAAATTTAAATTTCATCTGGGGTAAAAAAAAATACAATTAATAAATAATAATAGAATTGAGTCCCAACTGATTTTTGCTCACTTAGTATCAAGATTCACCAAACAATTTTCAGACAAATGGTCAGGGGAAAGCTGCAAGGCTTTCACCGGGCTGTCATAAAAAAGAATTTTCATATTATCTTTACTTCAAGTCATATTTTCATCCAAATGCAAACATTATATAGGGTATCAAAAATTTGATTATGTACATCAAAACTCTAAATTTTCACAAAGTCGTTTACATTATTTACTTAAATATTGGAAGTAGCCAGTGTTGCAACAGCGAGAAAACCAATATTTTTTTGTTTTCACAAGTGGAGTATTGGTTGAAATTAAAGATTGTCGCTTTCTTTAGTGTTGGTGATCACATGGTACACCCATATTGGATTTTAACTGGGTTTTCTCCTTGCAACGGTACTGCTTTTACTCTATGTTTGATGGATCAGTTCTGAACAATAATCCACAGAGTGCATACCTCTACCCTGTGCCTGAATTCCGAACAATATGTAGGCTGTGCATGATAGGCGATTCCTTTACTTTCTTATTATGTACCATTCCACTAAATTTTATGATGATCCATTTCTTAGATTTTGCATGGTCCTGCTAACAGACAGACAAAGGTGAATACATATACCTCCTGGGCTGAGGTAATTATGTCAAAATACTGAAGTAATGGTTCGATAATCAGTATTTTGAACAGTTCAAGTGCTGCTTCTGTTTCATAATTCCAATGCCACAGCAACTCATCCAGCTATATACTGTAGCTTTCTTAATGAAACAGTGACTTCAAAAGTGATGAACTTTGCTATGTACTATAGTCCTCAGAGACGTTTGGAGTTAATTCTGTTACATTTGATGTGGCCGTCATTTGTTAAATTGCTTTCTTCAATCATGTTGGGGTTTTGCTTAATCCTTCCGGTGTCAGTATGTGGCAGATATAATATGTAACATCCCCCACTGCCATGAATATCTATATTTCTGCATTCACTTTTCCTCCAGACAAGAATACATATCTTTGCAACACATTCTATCTTCAAAGGTGTTTGTCATTTTCCAATTTCATATCTTGGGTTCTGAATGGCATCCATGAGTACATCAGTATACATGATCAAAAGGTGTAGATAGAAACCTTTCTTTATTCTGGATACTTAATCAACTTTTACATTGTTCTTCCTTAAGGTACAGCAAAATGAAAATGTAATATTAAATCAAATTTTTGTTTAAGTTTAAGAGATAAATTAGGAATGAAACTTCTTAATCAAAGAATAATTCCAATACGTGGAGAAATCTTTAAACAAAAATTTTCATTGTGTATGTTCCAAGTGAAGAAACTATCAAAAGTAATGCCTAAATACTTAAAACTATCAACGCTATCAACCAAGTTACCATTTATTGACAAATAAATATATAGAAAACTTCAAAGATTGGATTTAGAAGGTACATAATAATAAACTATCATAATCATATTACACATAAAATTGCAAAAATTTAGAATAAAAACTTATACAATTTTTTATAATTTATATCTTAACAACAGCAAATGAACATATATATTTTGCAGGTGATGGTGATGATGATTATTTTGATTATATGCTAATGAGGATGTTACTGACATGAAAATGATGATGATGTTGCTAATAAGAACATTACCTACTTGACATACATTCAGGCTAAATCAATTTGGTTTTCCATGGGCAAATGATGTTCATTGATTCAGTGTTATGATTAACAGAAGGATAGTTTACACGTACCATAATGCTACGTTAATTGGTCTATGCAGATTAAAAAACACAAGCACTGAAATAATACACCAAAAAATGTACCCTCAAAAATTAAGTCACTTCTTTTCATTAACTCTATATTTGCTGAGACAATGTAAACATTAACTGCATATACGAGCAACATCTCCTTCTACCTTGCCACAATAATTTTCCAAATTTTCTAGCATGGATAGGAAAATTGTGCATTACATGTGGCAAAGACAAGCCAAACCAGTAAATCCTTGTAAAAAATCAATTTTTAGTAATTAATACAGTGTTTTATCATAAAATGAAAGTTATAAAATGCTAAAAGAATCATTTAAATCCGATACTTCGTTATAAAGTTACAGGAGTTTACACGTACTGCTGTTATGTGAGAAATCAGCCGTCAAAGTTTACGATTTTGGACAATTCTCATGCACAGACCATCAACAAATCGTTATAAAATGTTGTTTTAACGTGAAAAAAAACCAACAAATATAACAACATATTATGATGTATAGATGTCCAATAAAATAGATTTCAAAAATTTTGGCAATCTAACATATTTTGGCCATTATCTCTGAAACAAAATTTGGGAGGAGTAACTCACTGATTTGGCTTGTCTGTTGCCAAATATGAAATTGAATTATGCTCCCCTGCCTACAAAACAGGTTCTAAGTTCTCCTATAAATTTATGTCGTGTTTCTAACACTATGGATAATCATTTAGTTATATTCTCTGACAGCATTTCTAATTAGTTTCTACACCCAAAAAATCCTGGTATTTCAGTCACGCTCAAAATACGTCATCACTTACCCAGAAGGGAGTGTGAACTGACAGACAGACATATTGACATTTCAAATTGAGATTTTGTGTACCAGTTGTTGACATCAAAATTTAGCTACACAATTTGAAACGATACCTCTGGCTCAGTGGCTTGGTATGCTTTTATTTTTGGTCTCTTTAAAATAGGGGTCATACCAACAATGAGCTATGTTTGGTATAAAACTATTATAAGCTTGGCATTTGGCGGAAAAGCTAAAAGTTTTGGCAAAAGCTTGTGGGTCGTTAGCAACCTGTTGTTTTGAATTGTATATATGGCAGTGATGTTGTTGCCATCTCAATCGCACATTCCTCCCCTTTGCATTTCGATTGTGCAATTTCTGTTTATACAATATAACTCTACAGTTTTTCGTAATAATGTAATTTTTTAGACTTATATAGCGCCTCTTAACAACAAAGCCTTTAAGCGCTTCACATATTACAGCCAGTCAGTGGATCAAGCACATATAGAACATATACACACTCAGCTCCAGGGGGCAAATTCTATAACGTTGCAGCAGTAATTTTGTGTTTAAACCTACCAGGTAACCAATTGTACATACTCGTCCGTGGAGAGAGACAACCATAGGTAAAGTACCTTGTCTACTGACACAAGCAAAACTCACAGCAAGGGATTGAACCTCCCACCTCAAGGTTGAGAAGCAGAAAAGCAACGCTGCACCAAACCGTGCAGACTAAACTATGTTGAGTGGTTTTCAATGTACTGTGAGACGATTTTTATTGTGAAAAGTGCTGAAGATTTAAAGATGTGAGTTTTAACCTTTATCATAGAATACCAATAACCCGGATTTAATTTTTCTTTCCACTGGCGAATCTTTTTTTACTGGCAGTAAAATGGCTGTGTTTTGAAAATCTAGATCATAAAACAACATTTACATTTATATTTTACCTCAAAAAATTCAGCCTTGGAAATATAGTTCTACACTACTCCAATATGTTAATTTGGTACAAACATTCATATACTGAACTGCACAAACTACACAACACATTGTTATCCCATAATAATAGGTAGCATTTGATAGGTATGGCTACATAACTACATGAATATCTTGATTTGTATGCCAACAGAAAAAAGAGACATTTATAATTAACAGTTGCATATAATATTTATTTGAAATCAAACTAGTGACTTATAATAATAAATATAGTAAACATTGTTAAGCTCAGACAAAAAAACAGGAATCACTATGGGGTTCTACAGTTTTTCTATTTTAAATTTTCTAGCTGTGATGGAGTTACGTTCGCTAGAATTTTACTTCTACACCTGCATCTCCAGCTCAAGATATTTCCAGAAGGCTCTATCAATATCACATAAATAATAACACTTTAAAGCCAAAATTGGATTAAATACTGAACTATTTCATCATCAAATGCATACAAACACATAAATAATGCATGAGCACACATCGCAGCGCTCAAAATATTTCTGGAGGCAATTCACTCGCACAGTGCTTTCTTCCGTTACATTTTAACTCTCTTCTCTAGCAATTCCTTTTCCGATTCCAAGGGAAGTATTTCTACTTAATAATATCTGTTTCTCCACGTCCTGCAATCATTCTCTTTAATTAAGTTTTTTGACCTTAACGCCAAATTGCATGGTTCAGTGATTCTAATACAGACTACTGTTTGTAGTATTTTAAAACAGGGGATTACTATAATTAGGTGATGAGGCCAGGCTAGTTTTCAAAATTAGCAATTTTTTCAGCTTACACTATGAATTATTCTCAATAGTGACTTAACACAGATGTAATACTCATCGTATGTATTTAAAATTCTCTGCTTTCACTTGTGATGTCAGACCACCTCTCCTTGAAAAAGCAAGTCCATAAAAAAACATCTAGATTGCAAACATAGTCAAACCCTAATTCCTGAAAACCCACTTTCTACTGTTTGTTTTCAAAACTATTACTAACTGCAATTTATTCACACTAATATTCTACATTCATATATTTGGCGTTTTCTTTATATTTGCTTTAAAAAAAACAAAAAAAACTGCTCAGTAAAAGTAGTAGCTTGCAAAATTCTACCAGGTGTTTTGTGGAAATTTGACTTTAATTTGTTTTCATTTTCTAAGAGGATTCATTACACCCTACCTAAATCTTACCCAGGGATGAACAACCCTGTGCTGATCTGTGACTCCATGGTTAAATAAAGTTGAACTTGAAGTTAAAGTTGAACTTTTTCACACTTTGAAGATCACTAAGTAATTGAAAAGCTCCAATGAGTTTTGGTTCAAATCCCAAAACACACCATAGGTTTCTTACTTTAAGAATTTACAAAATTATTTTCGTATAAATTTGTTTCATCTTACTGTATATTTCATTTGTCATTTAATCCTATTTATTTTGTTTATTCCATTTATTTTTATCCATTATGCTTGGCTGTCTGATGTAAAATATAATGTAATAAGTTTCAATTATATAGTGCTTTATACAGAAATCTTTGTGTGTGAGCTACCCACTCGTCTGGTCACAACAGGGGGCTGTATGAACCAGTACAGCGGGGTAACCCCTACTTGTCTCGAAAGGTGCAAGTCCTGGGTTCTTTAAAGTGCACATGAGCCAAATTGTGTATACTGTGCCTATGGTTTATAGTACTTTGTCCAAGGAGACACTTGTTCCACCACAAGCACCATAGGAGAGTTGTGCCATTTGTACCAGCGCCAAGATTATGGCAGTATGTTGCATTAGGGACTGGCAATGTGGATTTCGTTTAACTTGGGAGAACAAATAGCACTTCATACAATAAACTTAGACTTAACGTAGGAAGTATTATAGTCTCCTACATCTTTACACCAAATAGCTACAATTACCAGACACATGCCTAAATTAGATACAAAATTATTATGAATTATAAATACCTATTTTTCTATTTAATGTAGTAGATATTAGCCATCAGCATTTTTGTATAGACAAGAAACAATCAGTTGTTCATGTTTGAGATTATAATAATGATTGGAAAAACCTAGAAGGGACTCCACTGAATTGAAGTTCACAAGAATTCATCAATATTTTAATCATTATCATTTTTACTAATCATCTCATTACTGCCACCATCAATACCATCAGCATTTTGATTACAATAATAATTGGAAAAATTTACAAGAGATGCACTGAAACAAACTTCAGAATTGTTTTAGGGTGTAGTATGCATATAAAGACATCATGAACATTTACTTCAATAACTCAATATCATTATCATCATCATCACCAATGGCATCATCATCATCATCTTACTAATACTCCTAATCACTTTTTAAAAATTCTTTTCCTTTTCTTGTTTTAACATCATAATCCCAACCAACATCACATCTTTACATCACTATTACATCACCTATTACAACATCACCACCATCTCAATCACCTCATTTTCATAATCATTACCATCCATTTTCACTGATATACAAAAACAAATTCCTCTTCATTTATACTTCAAATATAAGACACCCCCTCCATCATCATATTATGCATTAGATATTATCATGTTACCAATAATAGTTAATAGTCTGATATTCCAGTCGCATCATCATCATCTCAATAATATTTCGAATTCTTTCATGAATATATTCACACAGAATTGGATAGGCAGACATTCTAACTAAATTAATTCACTTCATTCAATAATTCTTGTCTTACTTTATTACCATTACAATATCATAATTAATTAGTACTATATACAATATCTGTGCCGTAATCAAACACTTGTTCAGGGCGACAAAAGCGGGGTCCAGGGGCAGGTGGTCTGGCAAATCATGTAGTTCGAGATAAGACAGTAGATCAAAATTTTGTTTTCCATACTAACGTTGAATATAATTTTTTTTGTCTCTGGGGCCCTGCGGAGCCCAGGCTGTGGGGCACAGACCTCCTGCTCCCCCTTGCTTCGATAGTGCTATTTTTTGCTGGAATCAGTTTCATCTTGTATACTATATGTGTACACAATACTGCATCAATAGCTTACGCTCTACAATCAGTTGTAATTAAAGATTATTTTTGTTTAGGTTCAAAACAATTATGCGTCTCAGCCGCCTACATCAATCTTAATCATAACTAATTGTTTTCTTGTCATTTCAATTAATGAATTTATGATGACTAAATTACAGTATTTCTTTCATGGTGAAATCGACCTCAGTATCATATTCAACAACCTGACAGTTAATCAAGTAAATTTATTATGAAAATGTGTGAACTTACCATCTCAACATGCTAACACTGCACTGCATTATTTTTCCACTTTGACGAACAGTTCAAAATCTAAATGGTGAACAAAATTTGAAAGAAAATTGAATGGTAATTCTTTTAAATTACTAAATGAAAAATTAGAATAGATGTTATATTAAACGTATTTACAGTATATGATGTGTAATAATATATAATATGTCAGTGATAACAAAACCTTTATTCACTGTACATTAGCCTATAATGAAACATTGTTTTGTTCAAGCCTGACTGACTCAATATTGTGAACATTAGGTGTCCGGCTTTTATTTAATTGTTGGGGTGGGCAGTGGTGGCACCAGCAGGGGCATCCGCCCTGCAGAGGATAGGCCTAGACCCCCGTTGCCCGACGCCACAATATGGTCGTCGGATCAAAAATTTATAAAATGATAATTTGCCTATTCAAATAACATTATTATAATTGCTAATCACTAATGTTGTGGCCTAAAAGCACAAATGGGGGTGGGGGGAGGAGGTCCATACTAAGTCATAAAAACTTTCCCCATGAACTCTACCAGGCATATTTTATTCCTGGACCCCCGTCAGACATGTCGGACTCCCTGTCAGCAAATTTCCAGTGCCACCGCTGGGGGTGAAATGAAAAATGTTATAGTAATTTTGGTTCTGTATGAGAAAACAACGTATTTACAAAAAAATAATCTTATATTTATTGATGATTGATAATGAGACAAGAAAAAAAGACAACAGAATATACTTTTATGTGAAAGCACTTAAAAATAGATTTATCATCTTGTTCATCACATGGATTGCAAACGAATACATAGTAATAAGGCAAACATCTAGACTGCAGACATATAGTATCCAAACTTACTACAATGTACTTTTCAGTCCCCATTTAGACAAACCCATACTGATTAATTAAATTCAAAAGAATTGAATAAGCATTAATTTCTCTGGTTAAGATTGAAATAATCCTCAACCAATCAGATATGAGCACTTGCAGTAGTTAAGCATCACAGGATCTAAATGCCTCTGCTTTTAGATCTTGCGATGCATCATGAATTGTGGGTATTTTTTCTAAACATTGGCAGATATCTGATTTAAGAAATTCTTAACTCTGGTTTAAGAAGAATGTTAAATGTATATGTTGTCTTCTTCTATTATAATTAGAGCAACCACCATATATATCTATATGCAAAAAATATAAAATCTGGAATAACCCTCTAGACAATTGAGTGTGAAAAATATTCTAATTTAAAATGTTCTTATAAATATTTAAATTATATACCACTGTGTTTTCAATTGTCATCTACAAAGACTGCCTAATTTGTAAAAAAATGTTTAAAAGTATATTTACAAATACTCTTAAATTCCTCAACAAATTTTAGGAATTTCATGGTAAAACATATGTAGAAAAATCATTGAAAAATACTTATGTATTTTATATCAATTTTTTTTTTCCAAAACAATTTAATTAGTAACAAGTCAAAGAACAACAGCTCTGCAATGTTAGATGTAGCATGAAGTACACTTTTCTTTATGTCACTACTTGATGTCTGAAGATGATCATAGACCTATGGTATACTGTAGGTATCTGTCTTCGTAGATTCTTGGCATACTGCAAACAGCCTTATAATTTTCCTCAAGAATTTCATTTAAGTGAATTATAAACGAAAACGAGGCTGATGGTATCAGTGGTTATTGTTTTTAAAAGAAATTATACTTCAATGCCACAGTTGAGTGGTGCTGTAGCACAGTGCTTAAGATGCTCGTCTTCAAATTTCTGGGTCTTAGGTTCAATTTGTGTCACGGTTACAGAATTTTTTCTCACGACCAAAAACAACCCTATTCATAACGAAACTTTGTCTACTGTAGTTAAAAGGGAGGCCAACATTTTAACGTTTTAATGGTTATTGGGTCAGGAGGCCATGATTCGATGTTTCAACCTTTACTGGGGTGAAACAAATTTGACTTTTCAACCTTTATTGGCTCATATGACCCAATATAGATCGAAACGTCAAATCATGACCTGCCTCTCATTATCCGGAGCAATATTCAGTATTTTATATAAACATCAGTGCATCTGTTGGTAACTTGATAAGCCTACATAGAAGAAAGGGGTTGTGGGAGAGAGCAGTGAACTGACTCTGACCAGGATCTTCACAATGCCTTTAGCCCTTTTATACCAGTATTATTAAAAATACACTCCTGATGTAATAATAAAATTCAGTATTTGAACTATTTGTATGTGTAACTTAAATTAGCTAAATGGATGATAGAATGGCAAGTAAAAGATGCATAAATACTGTTCCACTTGGTAATCAATTACAATTTTAATTTAAATGCATTAACAGATTTTACCATAGACAGTATATCAGTAGAATTTTGAAGGAGGTAAAGCTTCCCTTGCTGGGTTTTAGAAGTGTGGGGACAAGCAGTGGGGGGGGGGAGTTTTAGTGTCCTATTTTATCACACACATCCATCATCCTTTCTATTGAAATTACCCAGAAGCCTTAACATACAGCATCCATCTTATAACAGTGTAATATTATTGATTTTTCCTACAGCCTACAATTCTTTTACTACCGTTACGCATAATACCAAGTTATTGATCTTTCATGTTTCAGCGAATGGCGTACATAAAATTCTAAACAAATCAAGCGCGAGAACTGAGACAAGCAGCCAGAATATGTGCTTGTATTTCAAAACATGTTAATATCTACCAAACTGGTATCCAATTATTATTATTATTATTATTATATCTTTAAATAAGAAACATGGAAGTATATTATGTTAGTATATAATTCTGTGAATTTATTTCTAATACAAAAGATACAGCAATCAAATTCAGTTATTCTAAAAAGGTAAGTTTATTGACATTGGATTTCCATGTAGTAAAAACATTGTATTACCTCCATTTTGTGACTAGCTAATGTGGTAGGCCCACATACATTTTTTAAATAAGAACCATTAAAAGTTTGCCAAGACTAAGCATTCTTATTTCTTTGCAAATTTCATGCTCAAAATGTTCTTATTTTATACACTTTTCAAAGAAAATTATTTAGTATATTTCTCTTGATATAATCTTTTTATACATTAATAATTTACTGTATTCGACTAGCATACAGTAAATTATACAAATTAAAAATAAATACATCAATTGACATTCAATTTAATTATATTCATTTATTTTCCAGAAGACATAAAATGTACAAACAAAATATAATATTAAAAACTACGCAAGTCTGATGGATCATTGGAAATCGAAAAAAGGTAACTCTATGAAAATTATCCTACTGGTGTAGGGCAAAATTTGATTTTGACATTCTACCTTGGCCTCAATTTTTTCTTATTTTGCACTTATTTTTTAAGCAATTTCAGCCTCAGTGTTCTTATAGAAAAATAAGTGTATATTTGCAACTATAGGCTATATACTTCAAATTTTAAAATATATTACTTATCTTGAATTATAATATACTTAAAACGAGATTCAATATTTTAATGGTTATTTAAGTATGCTAATCGCTTTCAATTAAATTTTACGAGAGAAAATATTTTCCTCAGCAATTAACAGCAGCATAAACAATATAGTTCCTCCTTTGCGTAGACCCTTAATTTGGATGAAAATCAATTTATGGATTATCGTAGATGTCCGTAAATCGACAAAAAATTGTTTTGATCTACGTATGATGGCAAGTTGATAACTTTATTTGACCCTTACCTTTGTTTCTCTGGTATAAGACCACACCCCTCCCTGAGCACAAAATTATGCCAGTTTTTGGGGGTGGGATTATACTCAGAGAATCTCTTTTCAATTAAAAGGCAATTTTTCAACACTGCCTAATTTAAAGCCCTTTGATGTTTATAATATTAAAAGATAATAAAGAATAAGGATCTCTCATCTCTATTTTCCTTTTATTTGCATTATTTGTAAGTAGTCCTTGTTTAGTTTTTCATTTTATAGGTAAGTTTTCATGATATGTAAAAGGTGGCCTCATGCAAGAACACCAACTTGGTGAACGAGCTTCCATTGTAAAAGAAAGATTTTATTATTATCATTATTATTATTATTACATTAGTTAACTAGTGCAGTCACTCCATAGAGTGATACCTCTGCCCTGACAGTACCTGAACACCAAACAATACGCATTTATGGGCAGTGCCATTATTTTCATTTTTTATGCTCGAGGGGTAAAAAATAAAATTTTTGTGACCTCGACCTTGTATTTAGATTTTTATGTACCATTCCACTATATTGTATGATAATTTGTTCCTTAGTTTTTGCGTAATCGTGCTAACAGACAGACAGCAGTAAATATATAACCTCCTTAGCAGAGATAACTAGAGCAGACAATTGATAAAGTGCATACAGTACCTCTACTAGGCCACTATATTAATGTATTAAATTGTTTTACATTCCATGAATTTTTGATTTTTCACAAAAATATTTTATCCCCTCTTCCTTTGACCAATATCTACAGGTCCAAAAAACGTTATCATGATCCATTCATTAGTGTTTGCATAACCTCTGTGGCGGAGGTAGAATGTGGTATTAAGTATACAACTAAATACAAGAGCCCGGTATTAAATGGAATTATAAAGTCTACCAGGGGAACTTTGAGACTGCTCGTTTCCATTCAATATCTTAAAACTTACCGGATTAAGTTATAGGACATATATATAGTAATTATTTACTTTATATTAATTCAATTAGCCTCTAATCACAGCCATGATAACCTTTATCTGAATTTTTAATTAATTGGATCTTATTTGTTAACCAACAATTAATCTGGTAAACTAAGCTACTACACATGCTCTGACCTTCTCTAATTAATGTTAATATTTTTAATTAATAAGGACATTACATTTATCATACTACTCAACAATACTAAGCTACACAACTTGAAAAATGTAATACTAATGCCAAACAAAATTAATTATCAGTCTGCTTATGTCAACATGAAATTCATTCTATTAATAAACTGATACTGTTATTTTTATTTACAAGTTTAGACTTGTATACCACGATATGGTAGGTATGGTAAGCCGGGCACACACTGTGTTGGTTTCTGGCCGACCGAAATGTTCATGTTAGGTGGGGCGCTTATTCGCGTGAGTAAGGTAAGAGAACTACAGTTTGATGGATTAAAAAGTAATTGTTAAGACACCTGACCTAACATTTTAAAAAATAGGAGGAAAAGAAATAAAACTAGAAACAGAAGTATAGGTAGCAAATATTATAATGCAGGATGTATTAAGCTTTGATGGTTAAGATTGTTTTTTGCAAGTATTTGGGAACGTTTCGAGCATTCAGTACAATAACACATAAAGTAGGACAAAAAAAATCATTTGTATTATTTCTCCTGACGCAAAAAGCTATCGGACTTTGCTAAGTGTTTATAATTTCACTTTCGTCATCAGCTATAGCCCCCTCAGTGGCGGATTATGAACGTGAGGCGCTATATAAATCCAGAATTATTATTATTTATCCACAGACTGGTGAGGGCTGCAAATATTGGTGCCACATAACAATCAACATTAGAATCAAATATTGCACTTAATGGATGAATTTAATTTACATTTGAATATCACAATCGAAAATTTACCACGATCCAATGACATTATATAAATCAAATTTCTTAAATTACAATAATAAAAATCAAGAAGGGATGGGTTGAAAGGAATTGTTACACTTCAAATGTCATAAATAAGACATCCAAAAAATATGTGTAATTACTGAATGCTAAATCCAGTGAATATTTATGATGAGTGGAAATAAAGATGACGTGAGCAGAGTTATAATTTGTTCGATAACACAATAAATCTTGGAAGCTAAAATTCAATCGTACTGAAAAAAAAATTCCTGGTCTCGCATACCTCTCTGATTGTTAAACTTAGGGTGACCTCTGATCAATCTCTACAACTTCTAAGATCCAATGAGGAGGTGGTGGTTATTTCCTGAAGATGGCGTTGCTTCCAAGATTGCGTCTCTTCCAAGATGGCATATCTTCCTAGACGGAGTTTCTTCCACGATGTGCGGCGTCTCAAATTGCTATCTCTTCCATAATAGTTTTTCTTTAAAGGTGGTGTTCCTTTGGCGAGATGGCATCTCTTCCATGGTACTGAACCATATTCCACATTAGTTGAGTCATACGCACTGCATGGACACTGCCAAAGATGTCAACCCTTGGGTTTAAAAAAAAATTATTATGGCATACCTGTGGTGTTGGTGTCCTCCGTATGGCATCTTTTCTGATGGGTATATTCTGTAATACTCCTTTATCATGGTGGTCTGTAGCTTGATGTAATAATTCTTCCGATGACAATCTCAGGACACAAGTTCAACTTGTAGATGACTCGGTTAATCTATGGTAGTAAATAATGTATTTCCACATTTTTTCTATTTCAGCAGTCAATCCTTTGATGTTAGCAGCCGGTTATTAATATCATTCACACCTGTGTAATAATAAGTATATATAAGTATTATAAACAACATGAAAAATGATAGCCTAATAATAATAATAATAATAATAAGTTAGCACATTTTTCTAAAAGGATCAATTGTATTGAAATAAAAATCTGGAATATCAGGACCTGTGATATTAATATCACCATAATAGAAAACATAACCTGTTTTAGTATCATCTGGTGTTGGGGCTCCTTAGCCCATTATTCTTTCTTGGCATGCCACTAACCTGCCTTTTTGTACTTCATTGTTTTGTCTTTATTATTGTTTCCTGTATATGCTGAACTTATAACAAACAAATAAATCTGTGTTTAATGTGACCATATAGCTTTTGATGAACATAATTTAATGTAATTATGGTCTTTTGATTGATGATTTTATAATGATCAGTAATGCCATATGATTACTTGGGTAATAATTAACATAATTTAATGTGATTAAGATCATTTGATAACAATCACTCTGTCAACTTGATCAGACCTATGTTATCTGATCACAAACACTTATCAGTAATGATCATATAGTGATGATCATCATAAAGTTGTGATCATAGTTAAATACCATGGAACATGACCAGCATAAAATTTATATGTAGTCATCACTCAGCCTCCACAAGTGATCCGGTGATAAAATATATTAAACAGAACCTTCCCACACTGTACAGTGTGTTACTTAATGTTAATGAAAACCATGCTATGAAACGAAATTGTGGATATAAATCATTCAAATGACATTAACTCATGAACGCACCTAATGAATTCAAATTTTAACAGAATCTCTAGAAGCATTATGCAATCTTTGTTGCTAGACAAAATGGAACTTTAGATGTACAGAATTAGGCTATTAATCTAGATGCCTAAAGGAAATTAATGATTAGTGGATATGTTGTTTGAAATATATATCTATATTTCTTTTGGCTTTTTTTTAGTGCTTGTTTTTATATCAAGTTTTAACTTAAGAGTTACGCAGTTCCCCAAGAAAGACCAGTCTATTTCCTGATTGGGCTACCCTGGCAAACATTATGAATAAACGAATAGTTGTGTCTGTTAACTGGCGAGAATTTTTGTTTTCAAACTGAGGTGTTTTTAAAGGCCATCTCGACCAGTAGCCTACTTAAATCTAAATATACTTTATATACAAATACCAATCATCAAAGAAACCTATATGTTTATATTAATTATTATTGTATATTTCTTTCCAAATTAGATGGCCACATCATAATGACATCTGAAATCTATAGCTGGTCAGTCAATGACATCTGTGAAATCTATAGCTGGTCAGTGTGAAGGATTGACTGTCTACTGATTTGGTAAGTTTTATTTTTTTGCTGCAGCAGCAATAGGAACTAAGTAGGCGAACACAGCCTCATACAATGGTCATACGACCATCAGCCAACGATGCCATCTTCAATTTTGGGTGAGTGCTTGATGACGCAATGCCATCTGTTGATTGTCGATGGCAGACAGGGTGGATTTTCGAAATTGGAAACGATCCATTGCGTGTTCCTTGTTGCATTGTCTTCACCTAATTACATCAGCCGATCAAAACAGTTGTTTTTTTGGGTTTTTTTTGCTTTTTATTACAAAAATTGGGAATATCATAAATTTCTCTTAATTGGTAAGTAAAATATGTTGCCATTGATAGCTAACTTAATATATACAGTGCACTTCAAATATTGAATTTTAATGTTCAAGTGTATTAGTTTAACAGACAGTAATGTATATGTTTTATTTCACCATCAAGTGTCAACTGTGTATATTGATATTAGGCAACGTTTGCCATCAATGACGTCACACAGTTGGTCCACCCACATACTTGGTCCACCCAACGTGCCGACGTTTGTATCGTCAAAGGGAAGAAAACAATCAATGCTAGTATGTATGCAGCCTTTTTGCTCTTCTGCAAACCTAAGACTTGGGGGCCAGCTGCGAGCTATAGCACGATCAACTTATGTTACACTGTCCCCATGCCTGGGCAGCTGTGAACAGGTGAGTAACTCGATAGACCAGTTCAAATTTCATATCCCATGGTGCACCTTGCTGACATTGTTACCCTGGGGACAAGACAGCTTATTTGTTTCAACATCCAGCTTCGGTGTTCCTCATCTTGTGTTTTTTTACATTCCACGTTCTGTTAATCAATAGTCGAAATTGAAGTAATACAAAGCAAGCGTGTTGGCTGAGGTTGATGAGTGTTTATTGGCTAAAATGACAACGGGTGTTCAACAGCAGCCTAATCAAGGCCTGTTCCAACACACTGAGTTTACATATCTCCACACATTGCTCCCATGATGGGATTACTCTCAATTACTAATAAATGTGACTGATTACAAAACCTTCTCTCACCATATCATACGATCACCGAAATAAACGCACTGCGGTATGCCACTGTATACCATGTTTTTACTCTTCTTATATATCTTATACACCTCTTTGATTGCTGGGCGTACTGACACTAATATATATTTATAATTATATAGAAACGCTTTCATTGTTATAAAGGCTCTTCTTTTAAATGGAGGGAAAAATTAACTTAAAACACCCAGGCACTTATAAGGTAACTTCGGTTCAAAAAGGTGGTAACGATAGATGTGTATAAGAGACAGTATATATATGTATCAGATGTTGAACAACATTAAAATGACTGTCCATACAAATGTTTTCTAGTATATGATTATGATTACCAGTATAAATATACCTATCAATAAACAAACATGATTTTTGGCAAATAATCCTACTGCTTCAAAGTAATTTTAATATTATTTGAGCACTTCCACAATAGCAACACAATTAATTGTGAAACTTAAAACTTAAAAACAAATGATTATGAGGCAGGACATCTGAGACAATAATAATAAAGCTTTTAAATATTTCATAAATGTTGGCGAACAAAACACTTTATGGCGGTAACTGTACTTTTCTGTTCCATAAGCATTTACCCTTATTTTTGTATGACACATCAGAATCTAATAAAAATTGTCTTATCATAAATGTTTGTAGCCTTTTATTATACTGTTTTCTTGTTTCTGATTAGGGTTATTGTACATATATATTTATAGAGTTATTTATGAATTTGACCTATCAACAAAATTCTAGGCATTTTAGATTTTTAGATTATTTTTTTTGTCATGTTGATTTAAAAAATAAAGCATAGACATCATTTTTTAATTAAAGGCATATACATGGAACATTAACAATGTTCACATATTCATTATGGTATATTGCAATGTAAGTTGCATCCTCTTCCATTTCAATTTTGACCGCAACTACTATCAGAATCCAGAGTATAATTATAGCTTGATAGTCGAAAGAATGTTTAGCCTGAAGCATCTGAAGAGCCATGTAAACAACATGAGCTCAGTATGAAATCCTACTGAAAATGCTACAGTAACTTCACATTGAAAACTACAAGAGGATTTTACAGTAAATGGGAAGCTAACTCCATGGTAACATAATTTATTCATTTTTAAGACACTTTTCCAAGTCTGTGATAGGGCAGAAATATTCTGTTAATACTAAACTTAACTTAGTTCTGTTAACTTGTATACTAAAACTAGCAACCCTGGACTACTATAGGTCACAGCAGGTTTCCCACACTTTCCCCATAAATTATTTTTTAATTGTTGTGTTGTCTTAACAATAATATGTGCAAATTTCTCTAAATTCCTAATTTCCAACTCACGTTAAAAACTTTTTTTAGTAGCCTACTCAGGGGCGGCGCCAACAGGGAGGCAGAGGGGCTTATGCCCCCAATCAGTTTGGTCAAGCTCCCCCCATCGGCTAAAGCTCGTCGGGCAGTTGGACCAAAAGAAAAAAAAAATAGGCCTAGTTTTCCCATCCCAGTACCATTATCTTTTCTTGATTTTAATGTTTCCTTAAATTGTTTTAAGTTCAAACTTATATCCTTTTTAAATAAATAGTAGAAATTCTTTGCTTTTTATTAGTTTTAACTTTTTATCTTCTGATATTTTATAGTTTGTTTTTAGAGCAAGGTATATTTTTTTGCAATTATATTTTGACTTCTTTTTATTGTTGTTTCCTGTTTTTAAATACAATTTGTTGTTTTTGCAACTTTTGGATTTTAACTTCAGAATTTTAATTTTTTTCTTGCAATTTTATGATTTTAATTTGTATTATGAATTGTTGTGAAAGGGGGCCTCTTCAATTCAGCATTGCTGTTAGAGCCACCCTCTCAAAATATTGTTGAATAAATAAATAAATGATTATACATTTCGTTCTTCAACATTCTGAAAATGAATGTAAAATATATATATTTATTATTAGCAAAACAAATATATAAATTATATTGTTAAATATTATAATGATATTAATTTAAAAGCTTATAAGAATATCCAAATACTAAAACACATACTTATGATCATATGTATTTATCATTATTTGCATTAATTCAGGCAGGTTTCTACATCTGTGTTTGTGCTTAGCAATTCGTCATCAGAACTCATTTAGAGAAACGCTAGTAAACACACTCGCACTCGATCATTAACAATAATAGAATGATCACCGAGTCATTCAAGCAGTGAGTAATGAACCATGAAAATAACCAAGTAAAGGTACGATAAAAACGTTACTGAACCAGCGGAGTAATATCACTGATTATTGACAAGATATTAATGATGTCATTCTTATTGTATTCTGCTACATATCTACCACGATGTGCATAATGTTGTATTTTATTTTACAGTATTTCATTTTATTTATTGGTATAAAAACACGCGGAAGGCAACATAGATATGGTAAATTATCTGAATTTACAATACAAATGGGGGAAAAAATACAAGACATCAAAAGAAATAAATTTATGCCTAAACACCAACATTTGAATAAGATTATAAAAATGACTTTACAATACATTAATTATACAAGAATATAGGGCCTACATAACATTAAATCTGTTGCAAGCAAGCCAATTTAACCTATTTACAATTACTGTAAATAAATAGTACTGTAAATTATGGGGTGTGTGTATATGAACACTAATATTAATAATATTAATAATAATAATAATAATAATAATAATAATAATAATAATAATAATAATGTGCTATTATCATATTCATCACGCTTTTTCTCCTAAACATCATCAGCCTACTTAAAGCCCAGCAAAATTTAAAAGAAAAAAAAAAATCTGATTTTTATGTATGTTATAATGATTTATAAATGCTAGTTTACCTGAATTTAGACATTCCCAAACATGAAAAAAAATGTAAAATAAGACTGAAATTTGATTGAAAAAAAAAAAATGTGGATGAATTTTTTATATTTGACTTTGCGATAGGTCTACGAAGAAATATAGTATGCACCGGAAATATTAGCCTATCCAACACTGCTAGGCTAGGCCTAGCCTTACCTCGATTTAGGTTTTGTTATCACACATAAAACAGCCGTCATGATATTTTCCTTTGCTAGTATTGACACTTGTGAAATATAAAATTTCATAGGAATTATTTCAAATTTGTTAAAAAAATTATTATGACCGATGTTTTGACAATTATACAAACATTTTAGGCCTACTCTATCGACCACAGTGTGCGAGATGCGAAGTACAAAAACTAATCTCATTAGAGAAGGCGCACTTTATTGACTGTATAAAGTATACATAAAAGCGAGAGCATTCCAGCGGATGTGATCTACAACCTCTGAATTTGCCTAGTAACTAAGAATTTGTCGAGAAAATGGTAATCTCCTATGAGAAATAGTCTGTAGTTCTTTTTTTTTAAATTCTTTTGCATAAAACTAAAATTTATGCCAATATTTTTCCATGGTTTATAATAATTAGAGTAATGCATATGCATTTTTTCTATATATCTTAATTTTTTATTTATAGGTCTAAAATTTATTATTATTCAGATTCATATTTAACATAAACTTGTTTATATTTAAGCTTATTCTGTAATACCTGTTTAAAACTGTTGGATGTTTCAGTCAAAAATAGATACTGTAGTAATATTATTTTGCATAGTTTGAGGCACTGTGTATCTATATGAAGGGCCTGTATAAATAATATGGTTTAGGCAATAACCATTATCGCTAACCCGATTAAAATTGTGCCCTAAATCGGAATTTGTTTGGAAATCCTCTAAAAACTTAACACTACAATTTTAGCAATAAAACTTCACATGTAGGCATACTACTGTTATTAATCCTGTTAATTTCAAAATCGACTTTCCAAAAATAGTTTATACACCTCTTTGATTGCTGGGCGTACTGACACTAATATATATTTATAATTATATAGAAACGCTTTCATTGTTATAAAGGCTCTTCTTTTAAATGGAGGGAAAAATTAACTTAAAACACCCAGGCACTTATAAGGTAACTTCGGTTCAAAAAGGTGGTAACGATTTACAAATAAGAACGGCCATACATTTGACACCCCGAGCAACAATCAAACAGGAGATTATCACCAATAAAAATCATATATGAACACAGCCCAAGTCACAAGCCATAATAATCATATAATAAACATAAAATATGATACATAGGGTAATAACTAAAAACAATATATCACATACGATATGTTTCTTATTCTGGATATGAGCTAATTTAATACCCATATTTACCTAATAATAATAATTTTACAGTATTCCAATTTCATAAAATGTTTCTGCTAAAAGTATTTTAATATTTTGTAGCTATAATATGGTGATTAATATGCTTGCCTTCAAGTCATTTGGTTGTGGGATCAAATCCTATTAAAATGGTATATCTAAGGGGATGTTAGGCTTACAATCAAAAGATCTGGTGTTCGAATCTAAATATATTCACTTGTGTTTTTGGACAAGGTGCTTTATCCAATTTTGTCACACTTTTTACCCAGTAACTGTAAGTGGGTACCTGGTAGGTTCAAAGGCCAATGCTCTGTTAATTGCTAGCTGCAGCATTTTGAAATATTCCTCAGGGAGTTGGATGTGTTCTGTAGGTGTGATCCAATGATGGGTAATAATATGAAGCGCTAAGATGCCTTAGAATCATGCGCAATATATAGCTGATATTATTAAATATTATCAATATAGGTGCTGGGGCCATGGCTACATATAGGCAAACACCTATACCTCAGAGGGAAATATAAAATAAAATACATTGAATACATATTACAACCAATCAAAAAAAGGACAAACTAAATGCAGAGAAAATAATTGCTAAATATAGTACATACATATAATAGTGTGAAGTGCATAGATGTCTTATCTGATATTATTAATATAGGTACTGGGACCAAGGCTTTCATTTATCAGGGCTCACTACAAAATTGGTCTCATGGTTGGAGAATTAAAAATTAGTTTATATTATTTGGGTAGATCACATTATAAGATTTAATTTGATCTTTTAATGACTTCCCTATCATAAGGTGATCCAAAGATGTGA